ACACTGATTAGATCCCCTCTCAGACTTCTCTTCTCCAGGCTGAACGGGCCCAGCTCCCTCTGCCTCTCCTCATAGGGCAGATGTTCCAGGCCCCTGATCATCCTTGTGGCCCTGCGCTGGACTCTCTCCAGCAGCTCCACATCCCTCTTGTACTGTGGGGCCCAGAACTGGACACAATACTCCAGATGTGGCCTCACCTGGCCTGAGTAGGGGGGCAGGATCACCTCCCTCGGCCTGCTGGAGACACTCTTCTTAACACACCCCAGGATCCCATTGGCCTTCTTGGCCACGAGGGCACACTGCTGCCTCATGGTCAACTTATCATCCACCATGACACCCAGGTCTTTCTCCGCAGAGCTGCTCTCCAGAAGGTCGGTCCCCAGCCTGTGCTGGTGCCTGGGGTTATTCCTACCCAGGCGCAGTTAAGCAGTTAGTTTTCCAAAATGACCTGTCTTTTGCTTTGCTAAGTTATTTTAGAAGTGGTTTGAGAACTTAGTAACAAAGTAGATTGAAAGACTGCTCTGCTGCCCTCTGTTTTCTTCAGGTGAACATATTCAATACTCAATGTTAATTTCAGATCCTGCATGTATAAAGTCATGAGATATCAACTTACTAGCATGGGAATGACTGGTATAATACAATAATGAAGTGATAAGAAAGTGATTTTTAAAGCCTACGTTAAATCTCCTAACTTGCCCGATCTTCCTCAAAGACTGAAGAGCTATTCCCTTTCTTCTCCTTCATTTTTTTTTAAGAAAAAGCCTTAATATTTTATTTAAAAAAAACCAGGATATATGAATTCAAAATATTTTTATTTGGGTAACTTTTGAAGAATTCACATGGAAACTGAAGATTGTTGATAAAAAATAATTTCAACTCAAAAGACTTTCAACTTCCATCATAAAAGAAATATTTCAATTCTCAGCAAAAAAATAAGGTTTTCCATAGTAATTTCATAATACTGTTTTCAGTGTTTCGCAGTTAAATAAAAGCCCAGCCCTACTGAACAAGAGCAGATGGATGAGAGTGTTCATGCAGTTCCTAAAAATAGAGACAACCTTAACTCCTGCCTCTCATTTGAACCTTACTTTGTGCATATCTCTTCTGTCTGAAAATATTTACATTTATGTAGTGCTTTTATCTATAAAGTGCTTTAGAAATGCTGCTTAGTAACTTCTCTCCTCAGCTTTTGATATAGTAGGAAACGGAGGATTTTGATCCCATTATATAGATGTTAAGTGACTGTGGCACTAGCACAGGGGAAGCCAATCATGAGGACTCAGATTTTTAAAGATAAAGGCACAGACCCTTCTGAGTTAGGTTAAAAGAAGGAACTGTAAAGAAAACACACCCAGGACGCCTTCATGAGCCATATCATTTCCAAGAAATAGAGACAGAAATACCCTTCAAAGTTGTCGTTTTTTTTTTTTCCTTCTTCTTCTTATGTAAAGAACAATATGTATCAACTGTTAATATCTACTGGTCTTCCTTTAAGGTGCATAAATATTGACTGCAGATGAAATCCTGATTTCACTATAGTGTGTGTCAGCTTGCAATTACCTCTGTGCCTCCAGGACCTCACTCTAATTGCATGAGGCTCCTTTTCCCCACTGTAGCAAACTAGAGCCTATTTTTACAGAGTCTAATTTCAGTACATTGTGCTTTGATAAAGGGAGTCTTCAGAGACATTGAAGACAATAGCTGTAGCAAAGGACCCGTAAATAGAGTCCCAAAAGTACTTTCTTCTTCCCAGCACTGAATGCTTATAAATTTCACTCTGAAGGGAAAATGTACGTGTTTCAAATAATTCTGACAAAATCAAGGACAAACTGCCAAACATCTTGCTATTTAGAGCACTTCACAGCATCACCACGTCAAATGACTGCAGATTTTTTAGAGCTTAAAAAGAGTGAAACCCACTGAATTTACAACAATTACTACGATTATCTTTAATTCTAGAAATGAGTGGAAATTATGGTTTAGAAAATACCATGTTGTGATAATGTTAAGCAAATGACAACTACTTCATGGCCACTACCATATGCTTTGCAAATGCTGTACCTATGAATTATTCCATTCTTTAAAATATCAAAGGAAAAGTCTATCAAAGGAAAAATGCAGAACTGAAAGCAGTGCAGTACACATCATAGGACTGGAGGTTGCAGGAATTCAGCATCTCTGCCCTTTGAGCTTCTGTATAAGCTCAGAGAAGGACTTGAGCAGACCTGAGCCTATCTCTCCCCCATCTAAAATGTGTGTGTAACTGCCCACTTCTTACCATAAACCAAAAACTTTACACTTTAAAAGTCTTTTTAATTCTTTTTTTTTTTTTAATTTGAGACTTCACTGTATAAACAAATGCTTTGAGCAAAAAAGACCAATATGTGCTTTTATTTGGTGTGGACTGTATGGCTAGTGAATAGCTTTAACCTTTCTTACCTGTTTTTTTTTTTTCCCCAGAATATAAGTCTATTGGATGTGGACATAAAAGAAGCCTCCAGTATTACGCTGAAAGCATTATCACTCCAGATGGATTTGTTGGCTATCAGTGTGAAACCTATCAAGATTTTGCATCAGTAAGTACCAGGTACAAACCTATCTGGAGGGACCAAGAAGTTTTAAGCTCGTGATTAAAACTAAAGAAGGTCCCCTGAGTGCCTGGTTGCCCTTGGGGAACCCATCACCAAGAGCTGTCACAGCCTCCGGTTTCGTAAGTGCTTAAACATTTGCACAATCAACCAACAACTGCCGTATTTAGACGAGGCGAGACAAATATTTATGCAGCTCCGCAGTGCTCACAGGCACACGACAACCCTTGGGTGCCTCGAGAAAGTTCAGTGGAACTTCCTGGACTTTATTCCTGGTAGAAGTGGGTTTTTGGTGGCCAGATTCTGGCAGTGCACTTGCGGCCTAGCAAGGAGGAAATACTTGACATTCATCTCCATCAGCTTTCAGAAGCAGTGATTACAACACTGCTGAAAGGTTGTTATTCCTTGCAGCAATGTTGCCACATAACTTGAAAGTTTGCTGTAACCCAGAATTTAAATGAAAAGCAGAACTCTGTGCAATTTAGTGGTGAGAAGAGAAAGATTTGCCTACTGCAGAATAAATAAGCGATGATAACCAAGTAGCCTTTTATTCATCTAAAACCCAGAGAGTCAAAGACAATAACGCTTTTTAAAACAGTACTTCCCAAATATCAAAATTCAAGCATTTGAAATGCAAAGCTATTTTTTTTCAACTGAAATAAAATCATTTGCTCTGAAGATTTACAGTTTTTTCCTTTTCTTTTTCTTAATGAACATCAAAGTCTCAATCCCAATGTTCAATCTACAGGTAGACTAGTTTTGTTTGAAAGTTCTGCATGGGTATAAGGCCTGATAAACAGATAAAATACATTCCAAAATGAGATCACAAGCACAAATATTCCTAAATTTAATATGATTATCCACCCTACAGTAAATGACAAGCTTAATCTTCCAATAGGCCCCATGAAAGAGGTACATGCCAGCTGCCTTCCACCTTTTACAGAATAGGTAGTAATGCACAGTACACATCAAGGTATTTACTCATAGCCTCTGCTGCAACACAAGGAATTAAATCAGGTTTTCAAAATGATTCTTTCTGATTTTCAATCTACTGAACTGAGCAAACTAACCACCTGAGCTCCTTTTTACAGCACACCAATAAATACTGAACATATGAGCTGAACTCAAGCACCTTTTCACTTTTTAGAAATGTATACTTTAGCTGGATTAAAAAAAAAGAAAAAAAAAAGCTGAAATGCCCTAATTTTTGATAGTTTGAGAATTAGGATTAAAATAGATCATCTTTATAACAGCCTTTTGTTCTTCCAGGGAGACTGCTTCCCATGTCCCAGAGAAGGATGCCCACTGATGGGTCATTATGCTGATCAGTTTTCATCCAAAACTGGGAAAGAACAGCAAAAGGTTTTTTTAAATACAGGGCCCCTCCCTCCTTATGCTCGTAAGTGCTTATTTGGGTGATGTGACTGATGCTCATTTCTAAAGTGACAATGAATTCCCTATGAACAAATACCTCCCTGGCCCACAGCAATCCACTGCAGTTAGTGAGTGAAGCTCAGCATAAAATCTGGAGTCTCACATGTGTTAGGAATATGCATTTAGCAACATTATCTAGGGAAGGCTGAGATAACTATAGAAGCAGATCAACTGATGGTGACCTCTTTGGAGTTAAAAGCTCTGCTAAATTTTGTTAATTATGTGAAGACTTTGAAAATTCTCTAATGCTGTAGGTGGGAGGAGGTTATGCTGAAAGCACAGAATTTCAAAGCAAAGTGTTACATTACTGTCATTGAAAAAATATATGAGGGTATTTTTGCAAAGCTCAAGTCATCATGGCAAGCATTGGGAAATAGAGTTTTAATCTCCAATTATTGTAGAAGCAGTCACAGAACTGGGAAATGAGGAAATTCATAAATCAACTATTATCTATGATGAACTGCAAGGGCCGTAAGTGAGGTAAGGCCTTTGAGGCCCTTATTCACTAAACACTAGGATATTTGAAAATTAAGAAAAAAAATTGTTACATCTTGAGGAGAATAAAAACGAAAACAAAATGAGTTTGAATACAGAGAAATAAACCATTTTTTCAATCTGAATGACCATATTAATTTCAGCATCTAAAAATTTTTGAGTTTATATAAATTATAACCTGAAAACAAATACATTTTTTTTCAAGAGGTTGAAGAGATTCTCCTTTTAATAGCCCAAATTAAAGCCAGTGTAAAAGCTTTCTAAACCTGCTTACTTGAAAATAGTATTTACTATTGCACATTAGGCCCTGCTTCTGATTTGGAAAGGCATTTCAGAAGACAAGATCTTCCAAGGAGTGAGCAGCTATTTAAGGAAACCTTAAACACTCTACATCAGAACCATTCTGGGAACGTTGCCAATATTGTTCAATACACCCTTAACAACACAGTTATCCGGTGGACATCACTTTGTAATTCAGAGCTAGTATGCTTGAGACCCTCCAAATCACTCATAAATTTAAGAAATTATGATATTAATATTGAGGCCAAGTGGAAGAGTGAAGTACATATTGACCATCACAGCAGATTTAATTCTTAGCATATCTAGCAGGCCAGCAAAGGTTGGATCTATGATTTAGACCAGTGTCAAGCTAATTAGTATTATCAGAAAACCCTGTAGACCTAATGTTTGCCTTAAGGGAGAGTGACATTTTGTCTGCTCTCTAAGCACATTTCTGCAATGCTCTTCCCCCCACTGAAAAACATTGAAATGTATGAAACATTTTACCATCAGGAACGAAATCTCTGCACAACCATGACCTATTTCTTTGTTTTGATAGGCTGGAGAAAAGAGATACATGTCAGAGTATCTGCAACAAAAGCCCTGAAAGGAAAGATAGATGTGGCCTTGACTGGAAATAATGGGATCAAGAGAAAATACACAGTCGTCGAGTAAGTTTAACGTGACAGTTGAAAAAAAAAATGACTCTAACAACATTATTATATTTAATGCATGCATGGCAATTTTAACATGTCTCATCTTGCTCTGTTTGACCTTACTAGTGATTTACATTGGTAGCAAAAGTGCTGGTAAGTGAACAAAGCTCCTCATGCTACAAAATGACTGTGATCAAAATATGTTGGCTGATCATCCTTGTTCTGCATTTTCTTTTCTGAGGATGCCACTTAGCACAGAGGGCAAGAGCAAAGGCCTGAGAGCAGGCAGCTTCTGGACTCAATTTGGTGATCTTCCCCGAGAAGAGAGAAAAGAGCTACATGGGGTATATGATGGGTAAATGAAGACCACTGACCCCTCCTCTAGTAAATTAGAGACAGCAAGTAGGAAAATTGCACCTTGCTTAAGAACTGTGTTGGGGTCTGGAATTCCTCTCTACTTAGCCTGGCCTTTCCTAGTAAATGTGAATTTAAATCTAGTAAATTGATAATTGTCAAGAGCACAGTTTAAATATTGTAAAACCAACCTTCTCTGTATTGGAACATTGCCCTGTTACTGTCTGCACCAGAAGTACATTTGGTTGCAAATACAGTGATACAACTACAGGAAATGTCTGTGATAATCTCACACTATAATAATTATTCAACTGTAATGAGCAGAGATTCCACAGAAAGCAGGGATGTAAATTTTCTTTTCCTATTTTCTTCATAGCTGATAAGAAGCAGAGACACTGGGAGAACTTTTTGACTTTTCACTACGTATCTGCTGAGCATTTCAATACTTTTGTTTGATCTGCATCATGCTAAGTGCAGGTCACTATTCCTGTACTCCATCATGTACCTGCAGGTTGAGACGGCTGCTACATTTCCACCCAGGCCCCAGCTAGTTTCTAAATTTGTGGTTTCAAGGAGAAAGATGTATTTCACCTCCTAATCGGATTCCAGGAATGAATCTGGCAAGGGCTTCAGCAATGTTTCCTGCGTTTTCAAAGCATGCAGAGGAAGATGATTTTTTATCCAGCTAAATTGTGGGACCTCTAGCCCCTGGCAACTGCAACTGCTAAAAGCTTAAATGGGCTCAGGAAGAGACAGGACAAGTTCACGGAAGAGAAATCCATCAAAGATTGATAAATGCAGAGACATCACCTCTGTTTTAAAAAAAATCCTGATGTGTGGATTGTTGCAGGAAGCAAAAACATTTGAGAAAAGTGTTGCTATAAACATGATCTAGTCTCAAAGTCTTCCCTAGAACTTTGTTTTAACCCAGCCTTTGAGTAAGGAGACTGGGCTAGAGGGATGTTTTGTCTGATCCTGCAGAGCTGTTCCCTTTACAGTGTTGTCCAAATAAATATTTGATGTATTTTAATGTATGAAAATCTAAGATCCAAAGACATTATCACTTTGTAACATGACTTCAATGACAAGTCAGCAGAGAGGATAGGAGTTAGTATTCCTGGATTTAACAGGTGATCCTCTATGGCTGGAGCTGAAAGACTTCAATCTGTGTGGGATTCTGGGATAACGTAACTAAATTATAACAGCGCTGTTCAAAACTTCTACTCTCATGGCATCCCACCCCTCATCTCCCTTCTTACCTAGGATGTTTTATGTAGCAACTTCTTCCCTCATTTTGATATGACACAGAGCACCACTTTTATGCTTTTCCTTTGCCAGGGGAACTTTCGAACCAGGCAGCACGTATCTGAACTACATTGATACAGAAATTTCGGGGAACACTTCACAAGTCGAGTTCCTCTGGGAAAAGCAGCCAGGTCATTTACATGGAGGCTGTATGGGAGCTGAACAAGTCACAGTAGTATCTGGGGAAGATGGAAATGTGTGAGTACACAGTCTCAGTGTGTTTTGTTCTACAACTCTGGAAAGAAAAAGAAAAAAAAAAGAAGAACAAAAGGCCAACACTTTTGCAGGGTAACATATTCCTTAAACGAAGTGGGATTAAGTAATTAGAGGTCTAATCCCCATTTCATGGGAGTAGCTGGGTGTCTGGCTGACTGCAGTTGCTCCCACCAGCTCAGCCCTGCAGCCAGACTTTCCCACTGAACGGGACCGACCACACGTGACGCTGAGGGGCAGGTAGCTCTGCACGAGGAAAGGGTTTGACCTGCTCTCCTGAGCTGCAATTTCATACATGTGCATCTGCATTACCAAGCAGCACGCAAGAAGCAGCTCTGCACAGTGAAGCATACATGCTCTGGCAGGGTATTTTAGGCTGGCTACAATCTGATCCCAGGGGCTAGACACCCGCTAGCATCTGGAGTAAATCAGGTGCACTTCTAGAGCACATATCTCAGTTTCGTTTTACCCAGTTCATGTGCTCCAAGACCACTCAATTCTGTAACCCAAGGAATTGCAAGAGGGAGCTGAGTTATTCTCTTCAAAAGCACTGTTCTTGCCCCAAGAAATGCTAATATAGTTGTACATAAAGATACACATTTTAGGTTTGAATAACTATATACTAACTAGTATAAAAATTCTTTGATAATAGATACACATACTTATATTTTTAGGCTATTAGAACCCATTGTTTGGCCTAACATGAAATAAAAATAGGTTTTCTACTTGCTCTCTGGAGCTGCTACTCTGAAAATGTCACATTGTGCTGAAAAAATATTTACTTAAACTTTTCTTTCACTGCCAGGTCTACATTTTGTGGCCGTGGAACTGTGCGGTCAGGCCGAAGGCAAACGCTGACGCCCTGCTAAGACTTCAGTGAGAGCTCCCTGTTTGTCCACTGTGGTAATGTGCACAGAGGAAACCTTCTTTTTTTTCCAGTCAGTGGCAAGTCCTTAACAAGATTTCTTTAATAGATAACAAAAATTTGCTCAGTCCTCTGCAAAAGTTGTAATTCCAAATCAATGTTTTTGGCTTTTATCCATGAGGAGTTTTGAACTTCCACTTAGAATGACACCTAGTGGGTATTTTACTAGTAATGCTTTCATGCAGTTGGAGGAAATACTGAAATAGCAAAGGGAGTCCCAGGCAATTCTCTTCAGAAATATACTTAATTATTATAAAAGCTTCCAGGAAAAAGATAAAGCAAAAGGGGTTATATACAGCCATATTCTTTCATAGTGTCCTTTCCCTGAGTAACTAAGCAGGCACATTCATGCTTTCTGGAGGATCTGATTGTGCATCAGTAATCTGAAAAATAATTCTAAATATGAAACTATTCAGAGCTTGAATGGCATGCTCTTATTTGAGCTCTTCCTTCTTGAAGGACACCTTCAGACCAGCATTTTAGCAGCACATCCATAACAGTGTTCAGGAACGGGGACAGTGTACGCACTTGTATGGTGCACCATGAGAATCTACCACAAAGTTGACCATGTGTCAAACAGGACGATTTAATGCACAGCAGATTATTTGGTCATTGCCTTTTTCTCAGGGCACACTTGACTTATGGACTAGGTCTGTGCAGCTCTGCTGAACATTGGATAAGCTGAAACTTTTTCTCTAAAGCTGAAGCTCTCTTTATCAAAACCATCTTGCATGATTAGACTTTTAAATTTCCAAATAATTATTTTCTCTTTACCAATGAACCTGTACTTTTCACCCACAACTTTCCTTTATGAAGCCAGATACAGACTTGGAACATTATTTAGGATCGTGGCTATTTTCCCCATATAAAGAACATATTACACCACACTCTGTGGCACAAACCTGTTGGGGGTTTGATCATACTGAAATCAGGTCTGAGCTGCATTGTATTACCTATAATATTGCCCTTTCCCAAATTCAAGAGTGTTTTGATACTACTTAACAAGATCAAAGGACTCGGAGTGATTTACCAGCATTAGCCAAAACAAACCAAGTTAAGGCTGTTTCTCTTTTAGTACTAATGACAGGATTATGATCTGGGCACAGAAACCCCACATATGAATCATTTTTGGCAACTCTTGGCAACTCATCATAGCAACTCGCTATTGCAGAGCCCTTCCAGCGAAGTTTATCAGGAGGTGTTAATCAGATCAGTTACACAAGGCCAACCATGAGTGATGAACAGGCGTGTTTAAAATTAGGGAGCAATAATTCCGAGATGTCAGAGGGCAGCCACCTCGTGTGAAGCCCATCGGAGCAGCGAAGCCGGCGGATCAGCAGGCCCCCTCCTCGGGCACCTTCCTTCAGCTCCCTGACCATCTCCAGAAACCCCGAATCCTGGAACCATCACGAGCAGAGAGCTCATCCTCCTCGACCCCTTAGGAGCACTACTTAGGCAAGAGCCACTTTTTGGATCTTTGATCACCAAAAATTAAAAAAAAAGAAAAAAAAAAAAGGGTGCTGCAGGCCAAGGAATGGGATTGGATCATCTGATTTTAAGACCTGAGAAATCACCGTGAATAGTATCATGTTAGACAGTGCTTCACACAACAAGGAAGCACTGCCCTGTTGAATCCAGGGCTGTATAAAGCACGATTCCTTCTCATTTCTTCCTCCATACTTGACTCTGCCATTCTTGTAATTCCAAAAATTAATTTGATATTCTTTCAATGGGTAAATTATATTCTACTTTTTAAAAACAAAAGCTTTCAGTTTGTTTAATTTTAAATCATTGATTTAAGCAGCTTTCTGGTGAAGTGTAATGGTGCACATGGGTTGAGGAATAAATGAATTTCAACTGATGAGATTGCTTAAATATACATTTTCGCATATGATCAATCCACCTAAAAATAAAATATTACATTACTTTCTTCCCCTTGCCCATCTCTCCATTATTATACACTGTTGCTTGAGTTCATTTTCCTTGTTTGGTATAATCATATAACCACCAACACTGAACCACTGCCCTTTCTTGCTAACACTGCTGTGTACAACTCGGAACAACTCTGCTTTCATGAATGAAGATGAACAAACATTGAAAGTAACTGTGTAGTGTTGGTAGCATTTAGTCCTCTTTCCTTCTATCCTTTTCCATATGTAAAATTGTAACTTGGTGTTGAAACTCTTGGTGCCATCACTTCCCAGTATTGGAGCCAGTCCAGAAAATGCAGGAGTCTGATATTGCACAAGACAATCTTCCTTTATTAAAGACTATAACAGGTAATACTTTCATATCTTCATGGCAAGGTAAGCCAGCTTTTTATAACAACTTAAATTACATCTTTAAAATGTCAAGCGATATGTATTATTTGGTATGATTTGCTGCCACGCTGTATGGTAGCTTTTTGTTTTTTTTTTTTTTTCTGATGTGCTTCTTTTGTCTAGGGTTTTTAAGGACATACTTTGATTTTCATTCATTCTTTCAAGTAGGTAAATACTCTGTGACACTACGAGTGCCTCAAATATACAAAACTAACTTCATTCAACACTTCAGCAGCTTTTTCAGCAAAAACTGTGCCAAAGTTAAATTAATAACTAAATGATTATAAAATATTCTGTCTTAGTGTCTTTTCTGTCCCATGACACACTTTGGGAGTGGAGCAAGGTAAAACCCAAACCCCCAAACTTTCAGATCTTCTATCAGACAGGAACAGCAATATTAAACAGTCCAAAATACTATGTGCTCCACCTACACTATCTGTCTTCCCATTATATGTAGGACCAGAAAAATAATTTCTGGAGAAACAGGGCATTTTCTCAGGAAATGATACATGTAGCTGAGAAAGGAAGAGCTGCTTATGAGAATTCTCCATTATCAAGGAAAAAAAAATAGCACATGGCACAGCAGACTTTCCTCTTTCCTAAAAGTACAGTCTATCAAAAGATGCCTCTCACAAATATTTGTGAATTCAGAACAAAGTACATAAGAAAAATTTAAGTTAATTAAACAGAACTACCAAGTAGAGATGGAGATGTTCAGCATATGCAGTCATTTCTTGTGTCACTTTTGATCCTATTTCAGTGATTATTCAGATGCTTTCGTGCTACTCTAATATGCTAGACCATCTTGATGAAATCCAAATGTATGAATTCCAGATTTTCAGGAAATCAACCTATGGCATCAATTCATTCAAGAAGTCCTGTTGGTCTTTCATCTCAGTTACAGATGAAGCTTCACAACCAAGGCTCTTCCACAGAAAGCCTCCGCCGTGCATTCTCTCTGCCTTTAATACTCTTGCCTTTCTCACTGCATCATTTTATAGCCCAGTCACATGGCAGAATTTTTCTTTATTCTAGTAGAAAATATCACAGGAAATGCCGTAATTTTCTCCAGTAAAAAAATGCATCAGACTTATTTTTTTTCTCTACCTAATCTCTAGGATCTTTATTTCACTTGCTCCCACAGTACTTTTTATCAGCTTACATTTCTCTCTCTAGCTTCCGTTTCCCCAACAAAAGAAACATTATCTATTTTCTACACAGCTCATTTAAGTTGTTTTTCTGATCTTTCTCCACATTTACTTTAGGCTGGAGTCTCTATTCTTGACATGAATGGTTACAGTGGCCCCGTGCCTAAAAACTCACGTCCTGAAAGGACTTACTGACAGATTGAATTGATGGTTGTATCATATCAGTTACTAAATTACCCATAAGGGACATGAAGCCACATGACCTGGGAGCAAGTCTGTCTTCCCAGTTAGTTATTATTCCTACTGGTGCATCACGGCCTGGCTCTCATCTCTTAAAATTCCTACTGGATATTTTTCTAGTGAAATTATTTACCTTAAATTCTCCCACTCTCTTCCCTCAATTAAAATTACTGATTTTTCCTACAATAGGTTCCAATCCCAACACGTGCCCATCATTAGGTAAAAGGAAAGATTCAGTCTGTTCTTTGGAACAAGAGTTTTGCTGGCACTTTGACCCGTCCAGGCTACTCTGTGTAACGCTGGCTTCAACAGTTAGATTTGGCATTCTCCTAGAACAGAAGCAAGGGATGTTCTAAATGTGCATCTCAGGTACTTTGTGTGCTCTTCCATAACCAAAGCTGAATGAGACTCAGGTTGCCACCAAGAGGGTATAAACCCTCTTTGAGCTATGGACAAGTCTGTCTCCAGGGACTCTTAAAAACCTTCAAAACTCATGGGTCTCTCACTCTTCACTCATGCTAGTCAAGTATCAGGGACTCTGAATTCCATCTGTCTCCAGGGTACTTTAAGCAATGCTAATTCCAATCTTTGGGAAGCATAAGCCGATAGCATGCCCAGATATATTTCTTATGGCGTATTTCCAGGATTGAGGAAAGCCAAGAATCTGGTTTTTATCTTTAAACATCAAGGGAACTCAAACCTCTGTAAAGAACATTTATCATCACCAAGCCCTCACAAACAGAACACACCTACCCTGCCATGTTACACAAAACACACCTCTCTCCTCCCATCTACCACAAGATCGGATGGGGTAAGATGTCTTACAACACCGGAAGCATGAGCAGTGTTTAAATAAAAAAAAAAATAAGAAAAAAAGAACAGACCGACATTGGTATCAATCCCCCTTTCATCCTCTAATTTTCTCTTTTTTTAGAATAGGAAAGTGTGAGACCTGTTGTCCAGAATTCCATATATTGAACTTTGTTGTGAGCCACTGCTCTGTACTATAGGCAGTTCTGTCATTCCTTTTAAACCTTCAAATAAGAGGTTTATTTTTAAGCGTTACTAGGAAGTGAAGCACCTAGAGCAGGGGACTTCACCCTCTTCTCTTTAACTGTCCATTACTTCTAAAGAAGGACTATCTCTCCCCATGGATTATTCCTTCTCTATGCATGGTTACTCTCACCACTAGACATAAAATTCCCTACTGTTACTTCCTTAATGTGATACTACTC